GCCAGAAGGTCCCCCCTGAGCCTCCTTTTCTCCAGGATGAGCCCCCCCAGCTCCCTCAGGAGTTCTCCAGGAGTTCTCTCCCAGCTCCCTTCCCTGCCCTGCACACACTGGTGTATCCATTGGCTCCAAGCTGGACATGAACTCATTTCCAAGCTGCCTTTCCCACATTACATATGGAATATGTACTAAGTCACCTTCTTCCCAGCCCAGGCCAAGCCTGCCCATGATCCACCTTCCACTGCAGGACCAACATCCACCCTCACGTGTCCAGGCTCCCCTGTTGAGGCCCCAGTTATTCAAACCAAGCTGGGAACAGCAGATTTCTGAGCTGCCCGGTGCAAAAACAGTTAAAAGCTCCTTCCCTGAACTGCAACGTGCTCCTTGTTTCCAGCTGGATTAATTACTGGTCCATGGGAGTTCAGGGCTCAAGCTACTCAGGGTACTTGTTAAGGAGGGTTTGTGTTTAATCCACCAGGGAGACAATCAGCAGCACTGTCACAACCTGCTCCAGAGCCAGTGCTTCGCTAATTAGTGCCCTAACGAGGCCTGGCCCGGCGGCTCCAGGGGCTGTGACACCGGGCAGGGCACCCACACAAAGAGCCCCCAGCCCTCGGGGTGCGGCTGTGCCCACCTCACCTGGCGGTGCCACAGTGCTGCCACCTCCACCAACCACCCGGGAGCCAAACATCTGCCGGGAAAAACGCTGGCACATTCCAGTTTGTGCCACTGTCACCGCTGGGAAGGGCTCATTAAACAGCCAGGATGGGGGGCTGGAGGGAAACTGGGAGAATGTTTGACACCCTTTGGCCCTGAGTGTTTCCCAGGTTTAACATCGGGTCCAGCTGTTAACGGGGCTGAGCTGATCCCGGGTCTACCATTTCCAACGGTCCAAAGCACAGACAACTGTACTCCAACTGTAAACCCACGTAAATTAATCATTCTAAACCATAGATTATAAATCACTTTAATCGTGGGAAAAGATCAGAGATCTTTTATAAACTTCAGGAAAATGACGATGTTTAAAAAAAGGTGGATTAAAGGACAAACCACCTGCTTAGAAATCCAGTTGTGGGTACCTCAGTGGGAGCCACCTGAAGTTTAGGGTTTATATTTTTTTATATATTTTTATTTAATATTTTTACTTTTTTGGGTATTTTTTATTTTTATTTTAAATTTTTAATTTTAATTTTTATTTTACAGTTATTTATAGATTCACATTATATTTTATAGCTATATTTTCACATTTATTTTTATGTTTATATTTTAGTTACATTTTTACATTTATTTTTATATTTAAAATTGTATTTTATCTTTATCTTTATGTTTGTATTTTATAGTTACATTTTACATTCATTTTTCAATTTATACTTGTATATTATAGTTATATTTTTACTTCTTTATTTTTATATAATTATATTTTTATATATTATATATTTAAATTTATTTTTATATTTTAGTTATATTTTCACATGTATTTTTATATTCATAGTTGTATGTTATATTTTTACATTCGTATTTAGATTTATATTTTATAATTACATCTTCACATTTGTACATTTTAATTTTGAAAAGTTCTATAATTATATTTTACACATATTTTTATATTTTATAATTATATTTTAAATTTTTAATTTATAATTTTATCTTTACGGTTTTATATTTTATAATGATATTTTTAGTTTTAATTTATAATTATATTTAACATTTTTTTTATATTTTATAATGATATTTTAATTTTTTAATTTTATACTTTACTTATAGTTTTACATTTTCACATTTATATTTGTATGTTCCATTTGCATTTTCAAATTTACATTTTTTATATTTCATATTTATACCTTTACATCTATTTTTCTATCCGGCTTTTATATTTACATAAATATTTCAATCTACAAACCTTTCCCCTGCTCCCCACTGGCCCACGCAGCTCCAGGGGGAGCAGCCCGAGCTCTCCTCCTCCCCACCCACCCTTTCCACGCGGAAAACATTCCCACTGGAAAAAACAAGCACCAGTGGCACAACCAACCCTTCCTGCAGCTGCGGCTGAGCTGTCCCAGCCCACGGGGAGGAGATGGGACCCGTCCCCTGGGGATGGGACACCCCAAACTTCCAGCCCCGTCCCTGGGGATGGGACACCCCAAACTTCCAGCCCTGTCCCCTGGGGATGGGACACCCCAAACTTCCAGCCCCGTCCCCTGTAGATGGGACACCCCAAACTTCCAGCCCCATCCCCTGGGGATGGGACACCCCAAACTTCCAGCCCCGTCCCTGGGGATAGGACACCCCAAAC